TCTCTCTCTCTCACACACACACACACACACACACACACACACACACACACACACACACACACCTACCCTGCCCCATACTCCTAGGGAACTCCGCCTTCTATCCCTTACCCTCCACCCTCCCCTCCACTCCCTTTGTACTACTAACAAAAACATACGAATGAGCATCATTCAGAGAATAGACGATATGAAGATCAGAAATGGAATGAACGGAAGTATGAAGATGAAGGACGGACACAAGACTGTATAAGCTGAAGATCTGAAGTGAAATGAACAGGAGTATGAAGCTCTTAAGAGATGCACAGGAGCATTCCTTTCCTTTTACTCTGCCTCCTGAAATAACGTGCAAGTGGGCCGTGAAGGCACACGGGGATGTGGGCAGCTGCAGCTCAACCACAATCAACGTGGGCAGCCTTGTGCGTAAGAGGCACAGTAAAACCGGAGCTGCAAGAACAATGACAGGGGTACCCCAAAGGACAACCAAAAAACTGTCTAATTATAAAATTGCTTTAATATGTTGGACATCTCAAATGCTATCGTTGTCCACAATAGGACAAAGGCTGCTTTGATTCTGAATCTATTCACCTGGGTGGAATTGGGGCTGTTGTGGGAAAAATCTAAAACACACACACACACACACACACACACACACACACACACACACACACACACACACACGGGCACTTGGTGCTGAACTACACAAACGTGGCCAACCTTGCATTTCCTATTATATTTGTCTATGTATACTTTTTCGTTATGTATAGTCAGTAAATTATAACAATCGCTATTTGGCGGCCTGTGACCAGCAGCCAATCTGGGCCCTCCGTTTCATTGGGGTGCGACGGTCGAGATTGGCTGCTGATCGTTTTCGATGTCATCAACTCGCAATCTGGACCGTCTTCGGCGTTGAACCGTGCGGTCTAGATTGTGTGTTGATAGTTTTGGAGACGATCGCTAGGCCGGTAGGCCCTGGCCCGATATTGCCACGCGCAGCACTCCCCAGGCCATTTTTTGGCCCGGTAGTATGGCGTGCGGCACTCCCCAGACCAATATCGGAAGGCTACACATGCGCAGGGTGGATGTAAGTAACATTTTTTCGCCAGGCTGCACCAAAACGAAATGGCGAACGGTACACGCGGGTTGATGTAACTAACATTTTTTTCCCAGGCTGCGCCAGAAAGAAACGGCAAACTTCGACTTCGACGCTACTGTAAAGGCCACACTGGACTTCGACTCTCTACGCTCGATGCTACTGTACCCTGCTACAATCAAATTTGCTACTCTCTCTCTCTCTCTCTCTCTCTCTCTCTCTCTCTCTCTCTCTCTCTCTCTCTCTCTCTCTCTCTCTCTCTCTCTCT